ATTTCTGCAGGGAACTTTTAAATTACTAGTTCACTTTTCATCAGTTGTTATTGGCCTTTTCAGGTTTTCCTATTCTTCCTGATTTTTTTGTATATTTCTAGGAAGTTGTCCATTTTGCTTAGGTTGTCCAGTTTGTTGGCATATAGTTGCTCATAGTATTTGCTTACAATCATTTGTATTTTCATTTTGTACTATTACTTTTATAAAATGATTATGACTTTCACAACTTCCTACGAATGATTTTAAATAAAAATTTCAAGGTATCGCCCTAACCGGTCTGGTTCAGTGGATAGAGCGTCGGCCTGCGGACTGAAAGATCCCAGGTTCGATTCCGGTCAAGGGCATGTACCTGGGTTGCGGGCACATCCTCAGTGGGGGGTGTGCAGGAAGCAGCTGATCGATGTTTCTCTCTCATTGATGTTTCTGACTCTCTATCTCTCTCCCTTCCTCTCTGTAAAAAATCAATAAAATACAGAAATATATTTTGAATCTGTATTTAAAGCAGATCTCGCAGGAAAACTCCTGAATTGTAGCTGCTGTTGAAAACCTCAGTCCACCTGGACGCTCAGGGCCAGCTTCCTCCAAGGCAGGGGTGAGGCTGGGGGAGGACGGGCTGCTCTGAATTTGACACCTGCCAGGCCTCGGGGCCCAAGAGAGCACAGACTTCACACAAGCCCTCCCCAAACTCCTCCCAGGAACCTGCACAGGTGCCACCAAAATGCCACGGAACACAAGCATGACAGCCGGCGTTTAGGACTACAAGTATCAACCTGGTCCCAGACGTTTCCGTCACTGAAGAAACATTAACACGGAACTTCCTACCTCGGCCAGACACCGTGCTCTACCGATTCCAACCCCTCATCAGAGCCTCTGACGTAGGAACCGGTCCTCCCCATTTTACAGACAAGAAAACTGAGGCGCGGAGAAACTGCCTCGCCCAAAGTCCCGCGGCTGCTACGTGGGCTTCGAATCCCCGCTCCCTGGTTCTAGAGGCCACGCGTTTCACCCCTGGGCGATGCGGTCTAACCTCGGTAAATCCTCCCACGGCCTGATAACTTTATAAATCAGAAAAGCAAGGTTAAAGGCACATGCCCAAGGTCACGCTAATCGAAAGCTGCAGATGTGGCATCCCAACCCAAGCAGCCCAGCTCCCCAGCCCCTGTTCCCAATGTCTGGGCTGTTCCCTAGGCTGTTGACCTTGGACGAGAGTCCGTTTAGACTCCTTAAGCCTCGGTTTCCTCATCTGTACCATGAGGCCGCTGTGAACAGCAACGGGTTAATGCGCACGAAGTTCTTAGAGCAGCGAGCGCTGCTGCTGTTGCGTTAACATCACCCGATTCCAGGGCCCATGCGCCGAACTTAGTCCTAAAATAAGGAAGTTTGAGCAAATCTCGCAGAAGGAAGGCTTTGGGGGACCGCTGTCCATA